ACGCATGCGTTTCTAAGCCTCTATGTCGCCGTAACATTAAGTGAGTAGTGGATTTTTGTTTCCTATTACTGTCCTGCAGGTAAACAGGTTAACATCACGACAACACCCACAGGTAATCCAACAACTGCTGTCGTCGTCGTTGTCGTTGTCGTCGGCGTCGGCGTCGTCGTCGGCATAGTCTTCATAATCAGATGTCTATGCAAACGCAGGGAGAAATAATGAACGAAGATACAAAGCAATCCCCGCTAACAGGAAGAAGATGATGTAACGAGGAAGACAATCCGGTCAGTAACATCGTTCGAGAAGTTTCTGTATGGAACTGCTTCTAGGAGGATGGAAATACCTATAGCATAGCAACAAGAGCACGGATCTAGACCTGTCCACCTACGGCTTTGCTTACCATCTTACCTAATGTCTGCCAACCTATGTGAAATCCTGGTCTTCCACTTACACTATGTGGGTTTGAAGAAAAGGAGCGGTGCTCTCAAGACTCCTAGCAGTGTATGATCCGAAAATTCGCGAGTCCATCTATTTCAAGGACGTGTTTGTTATTGCTGTTCTAACTTATTCGACCCACTGCATTACCTTATTATCAATCTCGATGACTTGGCTCACAGGTGTCATCGTACCCAGTTGTGTAGATCGATGCTCATGCTTTTGATCACTGGATTTGCTGTTCCAGAAAAACCGTCGTCCCCTGCTTTGCAGAACGAGTAGGCGTTTCGTTAGGCCCTGTCCTCTTCACGCAGAGGAATAGAGAGAGAGTATATCACACACACACACACACACACACACACACACGATAAACGCACTACTACCAATCTCTATTTAAAGATGAACTAAGCAGAGTTATGCCCCCTTTGCAAGCTGATTCAAGTGCCTGTAGTCGGTTGGTTGGTTTCTTGTTAAATGTCGCACTGAGGAATATTCCAGCTATATGGCGGCGGTCGAGTCTGGACAGACAATCCAGTGATCAACAGCATGAGCATCGATCTGCGCAATTGGGATACGATGACATGTGTCAACCAAGTCAGCGAACCCGACCACCCGATCCCGTTAGACACCTTTTACGACAAGCATGGGCTGCTGAAGACTAATTCTAACCCGGATCTTCAAGAACCCAAGGCTGGGAGACTACCACCAAATGTCAAGTAGTGACCTGACATCATTCACAGAACTCTAGTTTGTAATTACTTGAGTTTCATAATTTCATGAAACATAATATGTTCTATTCATCAATAAGCATACACCGTAATATTTAATATTAAAATCTATTTACCGTTTTCTTTTCTTACACATTATACGCCTTGCCAAATTTCTCCGGTATTCCCATGTATTATGTCCTTATGCACATTCCATAATAAAGTTCGGGTTGTAAATTTCCTGGTCGCAAGTTGATTGACCTTATGTCAGTGTATGTGACAAAGTGAGTGAGTTTAGTTTTACGCCGCAATATTCCAGCGTTCATCGGCGTTCTATTAGTAAACGAGTCTGGACTATACAGTGATCCATAGCACAAGCATTGATGTACGCAATTGAGATACGATGATATGTGACAAAGTGTGAACCAACCAACTGAAATATTCATACAATTCGGACAATAAATATTAAGCTTTTGGTCTCATGACATGACTGTTTTTGGTTATTTTATTAATGTTCTTCAATATTCTAGTTTAGCCGGGGATGTGTAAGTGATCGATTCAATAGATCATAATACAGTGATTGGCAGCATGAGCATCGATCTACGCAGTCGGGATACTATGAAATATCAAACATGTCAACGAGCATGAATACACGATGTCTTGGGTAGGGTCGTATTACGAAATAAAGCTATCTTTCTAGAGTGAGTGAGTGAGTTAGGTTTTAAGCCGCTTATAGCACCATTCCAGCAATATCACGGAGAGGAACACCAGAACTGGGCTCCAGATTTTGTATACATGTGAGGAATCGAACCCGGGCCTTCGTCGTGACGAGCACACGCTTTAACAACAAAGCTTACCCCCACCCCCAACCCCCAACCCCCACCTTACATGACTGAAATAGAGCAGTTGTTCACCACTATATGGTTATCCTGCCTAGAACAATTAACCGGTATTCCTTTATTCCCTTGTATTATGTCCGTATGAGCATTACCTACTTAAGTTCGGGCTGTGAATTTCCTGGTCACGAGTCATGTTTGATGTGGCAACGTGGACACCATAGAAATACAAAATTTCCGTGGTGATATAATTGATAAAAACATCTGCTAATGATCACATCCCCGTTAAAAAATCAATTCATACAATTCTGACAATAAATATATAATTCTCTTTCGGTCTCACGCCATGGCTGGTTGTTTCGTTTCTTATTTCACGCCCAATTTACCACAATTATATAATTTTAGTTTGGACGGGGTAATTAAGTCAGCTAACCAAGAGATCACAAACCAGTGGTTGGTAACAGGAGCATCGATCTAAGCGGGATGCAAATGACATGCATCTACCAAGTCAACGAGCCTGAATATAGATGTATAGAGTAGCTCGTTATAACATATAAAGGCCTCTTTCATGAGTGAGTTTAGTGAATGAATTGGGTTTTACGACACTTTTAGCAATATTCCAGCATTATCACGGCGTGGGGCACCATAAATAGGCTTCAGACAGTATACCCTTGCGGGGAATCGAACACGGGCCTTCGACTTGACGAGCGAACGCTTTAACCACTGGACTACCCCACCGCCCCTCTTTTACTAGGACTTAGGAGCATCTTAATGAGAATGTGAAGCAAACATATATCAACTACATTTAATAAGTACATTTTGTAAAACTAGATGATCCATTCGGTTTATACCATATTTGTTTCCTGATACGATGTACTTCCGCATCGGGAGACATCAGAGAGTTTTACTTTGGATGAAAGCAACGGAACTTTGAAACGAGCAGTGCAGGAAATGCACATTGCCACGTGAATATGACGCATGATGACCAGTCACTGACCGGTAACTTAGAGAACACGTTATTGGATGCTTCGACTGAAACTATGGAATTTCATGTCAGAGTATTTATCCTCTTATGATCAAATAATATTTACGTTAATGAACGATTCAGTACCCGGCAAACCAGTGGTTGACATAAGGAGCAACGGTCAATGTGTTTGGATGCTATATATCAACCACGCAATCCCGTCTCATCTGATGATAAGTATGGACAGCTGTTGACTCATTCAGACTGGGACATTAAAGGAGGCCATTATTTGTGGGCACTCTGAATTAATGAATTCATGTCAATGATACCATTGTTTAACATGGATCCTCCTTTGTATAATGCCGAACAGTGAGTGAGTGAGTGAGTTGGGTTTTATGCCGCTTTTAGCAATATTCCAGTAATATAAGGACGGGGGACACCTGACTGAAATGGGCTTCAAACACTGTGCCCATGTGGGAAATCGAACCTGGGCTACCCCACCACGTGAGTGGGGAGGGGAGGGGAGGGGAAAGGATGGATGGGTGGGTGCGAGGGGACACCAGAGATGGGCTTCACGCATTGTGCCAATGTGGTTCAGTGCCTGTGAAAACGTTTAACACAATGTAAATGATAAGAATTCAGCAACAATGAAACGTACCTAATGAAGTTATTCTACCTTTCGCTTCAAGTTATTGTTTCAAAATCATACGCTATACGCTGTTGAAAATGCGTTAAATCAAGTCGGTGCCACTTGATGAATATAGACAATGATGTCAACGTGACACTGTCTGGCTTGACACTACTGTGATGTCAACGTGACACTGTCTGGCTTGACACTACTGTGATGTCAACGTGACACTGTCTGGCTTGACACTACTGTGATGTTAACGTGACACTGTCTGGCTTGACACTATAATACAGTTTCATCAAAGCCACATCTTGTATATCACACGACCGATATTTCCAGATGATAAATACTGAATACGTACAGCCAAAGTAAAAAGGGTGAGTAATCACATGTTTATTTAGGATACAAGCATACTGTGTTGCAAAATCCAGTGATTGATATGATGAACATCGATCTACAGCAGCTGCAAAAATCCAGATTGGTCCTACAGAGTGTCCATCCAAATACCAGAAACAAAACTTATTGACACCTCTTGTATCAAAATGTATCTGTAAGACTTTAAACATCCTCTTTATTACATGGGATGTGCTAAACACCAATTCTAAGCTGGATCGTCACTGGTGTAGAGAAAACATGGGTTGCTGAAGACCAGTTCTAACCCGGTATAAAGACCAGTTCTAACCGGACCTGTATGGGTGGAGACAAGCATGGGTTGCTGAAGACCAGTTGTTACCCGGACCTTCACGGTAGAGACAAACATGGGTTGCTGAAGACCAGTTCTAACCCGGATCGTCAGAGGGTAGCTGAAGACAGGCATAGGTGGCTGAAGACCAGTTGAAGACCAGTTAACCCGGACCTTCACGGGTAGAGACAAACAAGGGTTGCTGAAGACCAGTTGTAACCCGGACCTTCACGGGTGGAGACAAGCATGGGTTGCTGAAGACCAATTCTAACCCGGATCGTCACGGGTGGAAACAAACATGGGTTGCTGAAGACCAATTCTAACCCGGATCGTCACGGGTGGAGACAAGCATGGGTTGCTGAAGACCAGTTCTAACCCGGACCTTCACGGGTAGAGGCAAGCATGGGTTGCTGAAGACCAGTTGTAACCCGGATCTTCACGGGTAGAAACAAGCAAGGGTTACTGAAGACCAGTTCTTACCCAGACCTTCACGGGTGGAGACAAGCATGGGTTGCTGAAGACCAGTTGTAACCCCGACCTTCACGGGTAGAGACAAGCATTGGTTGCTGAAGACAAATTCTAACCCAGATCTTCACGGGTGGAGATAAGCAAGGGTTGCTGAAGACCAGTTGTAACCCGGATCTTCAGGGGTAGAGACAAGCATGGGTTGCTGAAGACAATTTCTAACCCACATCTTCACGGGTGGAGATAAGCAAGGGTTGCTGAAGACCAGTTGTAACCCGGATCTTCACAGGTAGAGAGAAGCATGGGTTGCTGAAGACCAGTTCTAACCCACATCTTCACGGGTGGAGGCAAGCAAGGGTCGCTGAATTATGTTACAGTCAGCTCGGCAATCCCCTAAAATGGGTATTCGATTTTTCACAGTGTCTCACTGCTAGTGTCTTCCTCTGAGGCAAGAGGTGCATCTTTGTACCACGTAGTGCCCGCATCGCGTTCTTGGCTTCCACTGGATACCGCAGGGTCTGCTTCATGCACGTAGTGGACGTCAACCATTGTAGGCTGGGTTGCGTGGTTGTGCCATCGTCTCCTCACCAGAACGACTACGGTGGCAATGAAGACAGTGATAGCAATGGGGAAAATCACCACGCTGATGAGAGTTAAATAATCTTCTTCAGTTGATCCTTTCTCCGTCGTGCTTGTGTTTGTGACGTCAGTTTCTGTTGTTGAGATTCGAGGGATACCTGTAGGAATTAAAGAGATGGTTAGACATGCAGTGCAAGATATTGATATTGCTGGAATATTGCTAAAAGCGGCGTAAAACTAAATTCATCCACTCACTTACACTTACACAGTCCTCCGATCTGTTTACGTTTGTATGGCACTTACGACTATGTTAGCGCTAAGATAGCTTCGAAAATCAAGGCTCTGGTTCCCGGTTCCCTTTGCGCGCTCCAACTTGCCATATGCGAGACGGGCCCCAGCTTCTGGTTCAAAATTGCGCAACCCCCAAAATATGACTTTACTGGACCGGACCAAGTGTACAACCATGCTTGGCTGTCACAGCTGTTGATAGTAGTAATTTGGGGATGGTTAGATCGGATATTTGTTATTCCTGCAAGGATTATCGGCTCCGTATTGTCAGATGACGGCCATGAGGCCATTCGAAAAGGCATGAAACGTTGTTTGTCACCGGAAGTACTAAACAACGCAAGGTCTCGCGATCTACTTAGGGGTCCTATAAGAGAACGGGTAGTTTTGACTCTTACTCTGGACAAGTGCCTGTGCGCCTTCACAGGACACCACCTGACTGTTGCTGCCACACGAAAACACAAGGCCCACGTCTCCAAAGTGGGATGTCGTGATGTTTAATGTTATGTTTACAGTGCTGTCCGTCAGTGCGGTAACAGTTTCATTCAGAAGAGCGCTTGTTATTCCACCCGTCTTCACCTGGACGTGGGCTGCTTCAGAACAGTAGTACCCTGTTAAGATGATGGTCAGTGATAATTCCTCGCCCACTCTCACTGTCCTCGTGCTCTGTTTGCTCATTATTCGACAAGCCGGACTTTCTGAAACAAAGGATGTGCATTGACATATTTGAAGTGTATAATAATGTGTGTGAACTTTCGTTTACGTTAACTGTCCTCGAGATGTCAACTGTGAAACTTGTGTGTCGAGTCTGTCGACCATACGGTACTCTCGAAGTAAAGACTTGGTCGCTGCATATCCCTTATTTAGTCGAAAATTTGGGGTTGACCTAGGATAGCTCGAATTATTTATATAGGTCCTCAAAAAGCTATAGGTCGACACGACGGCGTTCGACTGTGGTATATCATATGTTGTAATCATATGGTGCAGTAAGTGAGTGAGCTTAATTTTACGCCGCTTTTTGTAATATCTCGGCGGGGGACTCGGTGGAAGGGATTGGTATATATATTCCAACTAAATGGTAGCGATTTGTAAATAATCGAATCTGGGCCAGACAATCCAGTGATCAGCATCTTGATCAGCATCTTGCGTTGTGTCATCATCAGTGAGCCTGACCTCGCATGGGTTCCGAATGCCAATTCTAAGCCAAATATTCACGGTAGAAAGGAAAAGAATATTGTTCAGGGAATGTGAGTTCTTGCTTCACTTATTATGGTGGATTCCAACCTTTGTATTGAGAACGATATAGGTATATATAGGAATGTTTCAAAGAGCTTCATTTTTATACTGCTATAAAACATTTAATACACAAATTTGGTGACCCATTTGACATTGAGTGAGTGAGTGAGTTTAGTTGTACGCCGCACTCAGCAATATTCCGCTATATGGCCGCGGCCTGTAAATAATCGAGTCTGGATCAGAAAATCCAGTGATCAACAGCATGAGCATCGATCTGCGCAATTGGCAACCGATGACATGTGTCAACCAAGTCAGCGAGCCTGAATACCAAATTCCGTTAGTCGCCTCTTACGAAAAGCATAGTCGCCTTTTGTGGCAAGCATGGGTTGCTCAAGACCTATTCTACCCGGATCTTCACGGGTCATTTGACATTGAATTCAGGGAAAATACCCAAAACATTAGAGACCGGATAGGTCCGATTGTATGCTTACTTTCAACAGTTAGATGACACGTGTCTGGACTAGTGGTATCGGCATCAACAACACATGTCCAGGATCCAGCATGAGTCGGGAGAAGGCGCTGTATAACGAGGACACTGGATGACTTGTTCAGGACCGTTGCTGTAAAGTCACCAAGTGTTATGCATTTGTTTTCTGCCAAATCACAAGACGCTGCAGTGGTTCCAATTGGAGTTGAGTAGGAATGTGCACCTGTGTGGAAGGCTTGAATACACGTCAGTTTGACAGGGGAGTCAAGTTCCGTTATCTTGGGACAAAGTAGTTCCCCTGCACCTGTTGCAAAACATAGACGATGTACAAATAGCAAAGATATTGTGATTTGTTGAGATGGGCAAGCATTGTCTTAATTGCAGGTTGCCTGTTACATAGAGTTTGTTTGTTTGTTTGTTGTTTAACAATAAGCAATAAGCCAGCTATCAAATAATCGAGTTTGGACCAGACAATCCAGTGATCAACAAAATGAGCATCGATCTACACAACTGGGATAGGATGATATGTGTCAGTCAAATAGCGAGCCTGACCACCCGATTCCGTTAGTCGCCTCTTAAGACAAGCATGGTTTCCTGAAGACCAAGTGTAACCAGGGTCTTCACGGGTTAAACGTGAAGGGAGTCTGATCCCTGTACCAGAAATTTGGAAGTCATTGGAGCAATAATGTAGGATATTACTAGACTTAAAATTGAAATTTTGGAATTATTTCTAAATTATCTGCCCTTGGTTCTTGAACATAGAACCTTGAGGCCAGGCACACCTTGGTGATTGTTTAAAGAGATATTGACCACTGGTTCATGCCTTATGAAGGGCACAAAAAACGCAGAAACAATAGTAATAAATAATGATAAATTGAACGATTACATTAGGTCTCCTGCCTTTTAGGCATGGATCCCTAAATGAAAATATATGGCCCAGTGCTGAAACTACCCGTGACGATCCTGGTTAGAATTGGTCTTCAGAAACCCGTGCATGTCGCTGAGTGGGTCTGTACATGTAATCATTTCCCAATAGATGCACAGAGACTGATTGATCTTAATTCGACATGAACAATATTTTGTTTTCTACGATCATGTTTCTTGAGTTTGTTGTTTACCTCGAATCTTCCATGTGGACATGGTCAGATTGAGCTGAAAATGTTCCCTTTAATGTGTATACAAAGTCAGATACAGTTTGAATGTCATGATCGGCCAGTGCGTCAATAGTTCTGTACGTTTCTATGTAGACATGGTCAGGCCGTGTTCCCTTCAATGTGTATACATGGTACGATACAGTTTGAATGTCATGATCGGCCAGAGCGTCAATAGTTCTGTAGGTTTTATGTAGACATGGTCAGGCAGTGTTCCCTTAAATGTGTATTTATGGATACTGTTTGAATACCATGGTAAAACAGCTGTTATGTGTTATGTGTTATCATGTTATTTGCAGGCATGAGTGATTAAGTGAGTGAGTTAAGATTTAAAGTCACATCGCCAATATTTCAGCCATATCGTGACTAAAACTAGTTCTAAATTCATAATACATACATATAATATATAAAACCCTGCCAACGAAGGACAGTAAAACCACTAGATTACCACAGATTGAGTTAAAACTAGCTAGCACATATCTTTAAAAGTAGAAAATCACTTTTAGAGAATAAAATGTACAAATGGGCTCTAGATCGCCAACAACTGAAGGTAGATCACCATACTAGACTGCAGGCATGATCAGGCATTGCAAAAATAATATTTTTGTTTGGCCGTTTATAAGTTGGTGAGTAATAAGAAAGTAAGATTCTTTATGGAGAACAACTTCTTTATTACTCCAGCTTCCATTGCTAATTAATCTTATCAGCCATGTCTTTTCTGTTTCTGCCTCAAGGATCACTGGCTTCCTCTTATTGTCACAACATTACTACCACCATCCACTGTTGTTGCTGTTAATCCCCTTGATTCATACCTACATATTTTTATTTCTTAATCCCTGTTGATGTATATAAGTCCGTTCTGTGCTGTAGTACTTCACTCTTGCTTGACAACGCTATAAGAATCCATAACCAAACGCCGCATCATATATAATAAAGACGTTGTTGTCCATAAAGAATCTTACTGTCTTATTGCAAAACGTTCAGTGTTGATATGTGGATATAGTAGTAGCATGGTAAATGCTAAGTGGCCATAGTCAAATATATTTCAAAGAGAAGTGGTTCTTTCTCTACTGGCTTGAACATTTACTGTGTACATAGTTATGTTCCTCTAGATATGTCCAGACATTGTTTGAACAGCAGTGAAAGTGTTCTGTGTAGACATGATCAGAAATAACGAGAACAGCAGTGAAAGTGTTCTGTGTAGACATGATCAGACATTACGAGATTAGCAGTGAAAGTGTTCTGTGTAGACATGATCAGACATTACGAGAATAGCAGTGAAAGTGTTCTGTGTAGACATGATCAGACATTACGAGAATAGCAGTGAAAGTGTTCTGTGTAGACATGATCAGACATTACGAGATTAGCAGTGAAAGTGTTCTGTGTAGACATGATCAGACATTACGAGATTAGCAGTGAAAGTGTTCTGTGTAACATGATCAGACATTACGAGATTAGCAGTGAAAGTGTTCTGTGTAGGCATGATCAGACATTACGAGAATAACATCAGTGACAAGTGTTCTGTGTAGACATGATCAGACATTACGAGAATATCAGTGAAAGTGTTCTGTGTAGACATGATCAGACATTACGAGATTAGCAGTGAAAGTGTTCTGTGTAGACATGATCAGACATTACGAGAATATCAGTGAAAGTGTTCTGTGTAGACATGATCAGACATTACGAGATTAGCAGTGAAAGTGTTCTGTGTAGACGTGATCAGACATTACGAGAGTATCAGTAAAGTGTTCTGTGTAGACATGATCAGACATTACGAGAATAGCAGTGAAAGTGTTCCGTGTAGACATGATCAGGCATTACGAGAATATCAGTAAAGTGTTCTGTGCAGACATGATCAGACATTACGAGAATAGCAGTGAAAGTGTTCTGTGTAGACATGATCAGGCATTACGAGAATATCAGCGAAAGTGTTCCGTGTAGACATGATCAGGCATTACGAGAATATCTGTGAAAGTGTTCTGTGTAGACATGACCAGTTATGGTTCTGTTTTCTGTAGCCATGATGATTTGCTGTGTAAATAGGTGTGTTCCTGAAGAAATGACCAGACACTGAGTGAATAACTGTCAAAATGCTGAACAAACATGATCAGACATTGCGAGTATAGCAGTGAAAGTGTTTTGTGTAGACATGATGAATTACTATGTAAATAGTTGTGTTCCTGAAGAAGGTGTACATATGTGATTTATTGGGATACGTAGCAATGGTTGTGTAAAATACCAATGCAAGTATACATGATCTGTGTCGACATTTTGAATTTTGAGAATATTTGACATTCATTTCTTCCATAATAAATAAGATGATACCTATGTAAACGTTTAATTCTAATATAATTGAAATGAAAATATTTGACTGAAAACAAACATTAATTGATTCGCTTTTTAGTTGTTAACAAATTAACATTCCAATAAAGAAAGCAGTTACTTACAATAAGGCCATACCGCCACCAGACTTAGCAGAACATATATGAATGGGGTATTGAACTGTGTCGTGTTTTGAAACGAACATCTGAAAAATAGGAATTAGTGAAAGTTCTCAAACAGAATTATAAGAATAAAAATCTAAATCGGAGGACTTATATTTTGACTCGCACATACTCAACTGTAAATTGATATAGCACACATATATACTTTTCAAATAACATGCCGAGGGACGTTTGGGATAGCCTAGTGGTTAAAGCGTTCGCTCGTCACACAGACCCTAGTTCGATTCCACCCATGATTTCGTTGGAGTATTGCTAAAGCGGCGTAAACCTAAATTCTCTCACTCAAGTAACGCGTGGTCGAGACACCTGAAGACGTGATCTGATCATGCAGTTAAAGTCAGCATCTATGCTCAAAACACACATAAGGGAATGCTCTTTACATACCTTCACGTTTAGCCTGTGACTGGTTGTGACAAGGCTGACATCACCGCCGTCCAACATAATATATATGTCCTTCCTGGTGTGTCAAATTCACGATTTCCTTATTATATTAAATACGCATGTCATCGTGTGTTTGTAAACATGAACATACTAATCTACGTCGGATGATATGGCCATCGCTGAGTATTTACATCCCAAAGCGTTTCCAAGTAGGAGTCTCTATCAAGCTTAGAATGTCTTACTGACATCGTCAACATATACCGTCAAATAACATGAACAATATAAGCAGGCTAAACCGAGACCGATTCAGTTTCTCGTTCGAAACCTTGTGTAGTGACAAACATAATCCATTACGTCAGAGAGTACAGACATGATGTCTGTACTGTCTGGTGACGTAATGGATTATTTTTGCCCATTGATGTTACTAACGGGGATACGACCACATGCATCAGCCAAGTGAATGCGCCTGACAATTTGGCCGAAATACTGCCGATGTAAATTATAACATTTTGCAAGGGCGCTACACAAGTGTGGTTTTATGACTGCTTCACTGAGCATGAATACAACAGTGAAGCGATACTAAGCGATATAAGACGAAATGTGAGAATGGAGTGCTCATACTGTTGACCACTGGAGTGTCCATGCCATTCAAAATGTCATCATATTACAAAATACACTAAACATTTGAAAGGTTGGTCCGTTTTACTTGAAAGACATACATTTATGAACCACATATAAGATTAATGAATAATATTTTAGATACCGAAAGAAATCGGGTTTCATTACAAAGCTTCAACCCAGTAGCTCCATCATATAACTCGTTTGGAATTAGAAAATTTAATATTGTACACACAAAGTTGAGATATATGATTAGTCAACTAAACTGTGATCTATGTCGTTTCCAGATGAAAGATTCTGCTTCTTATTACTGCGACAATGCTTGTGAAAATGTACATCTCTTCCTAGTAGAATGACCCGTGAAGATCCAGGTACAAAACACATCTTTTACTGTGGCACAAATACATTTCTATAGTTATCCGTTGTAGATTGTGTGTTGATATATCTATTCTATGAACCTATGAATATCAAGGTTAGAACTGATCTTCAGTAACTCATGCTTGTGGTAAGAGGCGACTAACGGACGGTCAGGCTCGCTGACTTGGTTGAAACATGTTATCGGTCCCAATTGTGTAGATCGATGATCATGCTGTTGATCACTGGATTGTCTGGTCCAGACTCGATTATGTGCAGACCGCCGCCATATAGCTGGAACTATTTTCTATCCACAAACATGGGTCTCTTAAGATTGTACATTCCCGAAAATATCAGCTTCTACACTGATTAGCAGATGTTTCAGATCTTTACGTAGAGCGTATCGGGGTAAAACATCTTGCCTTTAATGAGATTGTTTCATTCATAGTTTTTTCTTTTTCTGAAGAATTACATTTGAATGAACTACATTCCACCTCAGTGAGGGAACATCATTCATTCCCTAGAGGGCGGTGGGGTAGCATAGTGGTTAAAGTGTTCGCTCGTCACGCCGAAGGCCCGGGTTCGATTCCCCTCAGGGTACAATGTGTAAAGCCCATTCCTGGTGTCCTCCGCCGTGATATTGCTGGAACATTGCTGAAGGCGCCGTAATACCATCCTCACTCACTCATTCCCTAGATACTGACGTCCGCTGACTCAGATTGTCTCCCTCAGATAAAAAACAACCCCACCCCACCAACGGATCACTAACACGTAACTGGTTCACTGGCACAAAATGGTTAATTTCTATAGTGATATAATTCAAAATACTTATTACTTTAATTCACATGCAACACTCATCTAATGGTCAGTCCCTGAATTATCGCGTTGTCTTCTTCCAGAAAACATCTACGGGCCAAGTTCTATAACCGTTCGTGTCCAGAAGCTGATCAGTAGCTGGGTGATAAGGCTTCATGAAATATCTGGTCAAGAAGTCGACTATCTCCCTTCCAGACGGGGATTTCCTGTGACGTCCCCATTCCAGCTGAACATATCTCACGTCGACCGATTTGAAAAAGTTATCTCCTCCGAGTAATACCTTTGCTTCATGAGCCTCGACGTCGAGTTTGATGGCGACTTTCTTCAGTTTGAAGACTTCTAGCAAGTCGTTGAGTAGCACGGCCTGAGCTGTCTCGCCTGATGACGTTGCGTTTTTCACATTTGTCGCGCCGACGTTTCCCTCGTACGTTCTGAAGCCGACCTTGAACCTGGTCGACGACAAAGCGTTATGAATTACATAAACATCCGGGTACTTCCCAGCGCGTACTGAGTTGCACAGTTTCTGTACATTTATTAATAAGGGCTCCACAAACAACACCGTCCGTCCAAGCTTGGCCATCGTTAATCCATAAACGCCAATATTACCGCCTATATCCACAAACTGCAGGTCGTCATCTTGTTTTACAATGTCGTGGAATCTCCTGACTTGGTCGTGCTCCCACATGCTCCCTTCAATGACATACCTCGACACAATCATATCCATCTTCTTTGGGTGGACAAAGATCGGCAGGTCCCCGCTGGAGAATGAAGCACGGTCTTCACGTAATGCTCGTCCCCATCGCACGTACCATCGTCACGTGACCAGTCTGTGGCTGACCTCGTGAACACCGTGGCACCGACGAGTTCGGACTTCAACAGGAAGTCACTTTTCCCAGAAGGTGCGGGTTTGTCAGCTGGTTTCTTGTCACCGACTGCAGCAGCAGCAACAGCAACAACCCTATCGGCACTTGGGAGACCATTGACGTTCTGCTGACAGCTTGCCTGTTGGTGTGAGACAAGTTAAAATACAGGATTGTCAAGAATGATGCCAGGACAGCAAGACAGAGCAATGCGTTGGTTCGGCTGCAGGTAATTGTCATCCCTCATCTTGATCCAGTAATGCCTTTATCACTTTTCTCCAGAAAATGATTTCCACAACTTCTCGGAAATCTACAGACTGGTATTCTCTGTCCACATCAATTCCCTGCTGTGAAGATACACTACTCAGGTTGTCTTTCTAATAGATTAATATTAAACTATTTGTATACAAAAGGTCCGTCAAAGTGATGATGAAGGCACATAATCCAATATATATCCATGCAATATATCCTACCTTAGTGAAACGAAGGCTATCCCGCAATATTATCCCATCATAGGGAAAACGCAGATATCACACTATATATTTTGCCTTTGTGAAACCACAGATTTCACGACATATATCCTTCCTTTGTGAAAGTAACGATATCAAGGTTACATACAACTCTTTGTGAAAGCAGTGATATCCAAGCAATGTCCTCCTTTGTGAAAGAATATATATCACGTTATATATCCGTTCTTTGCGAAAGTCATGACATCCAAGCAATAAACCTTTTCTTTGACATAGCAGATATATCACGCTGTATAATCTCTCTTTGTAAACAGTGATATGTAAGTAGTGATATCCAAATCGTATTGTATTTCTTTCACTGTGGTATCAAGCTATATAGCTTCTATGCAGCTGCGTCTTGTCTGTAACGCCGTCGGTCTAAGACAGGCTCCTCGTCAGTCGGTAGGTCCACGTGCAGTGAGAGGTTTGGCCATACAGAACCAGTGGATTACCCAATCAGCGGGAAGTGTATCATAATACTGGGTTACCCCTGGTATTGTTGTATCTACGAAATCTAACGGCTCCTGAAACAACAAACAGGTCGAGTGAATGAATAGAAGTTCCAAATAGCGTATATGCATTAGTTCCGTAGAAAAACAGTCCCCGGGTATTACATCTCCATTTTGTTATGACCCGTGAAGATCCGGGTTAGAATTGGTCTTCAGTAACCAAGCTTTGTCGCAACAGGGCGACCAACTAGGGGCACACAGCTGTCTTGATGTGTACAAGTTTACGAGTTATGTCTTAGTACATAATATATAAAGTCTGTAAGCTAAATCATCAGATGAACACCTTAATGTCCAGAACAGCTTATGCGCTGGAGTCATTAATAATATTGTATCCTTGTGTATTCGGTTTCGGTCATGTAAGGATTGTCGACCAACGTAACACTAAGTGCATAAATAAATCTATAATAAACAAACCTACCTCGTTTGTTTGTTATTTATTTATGATATTCAAATATCTGACGGATTAACCTCGTTTTCCACCCGCACAGCAGGCCTCGTAGTTCGCTACGCAAAGATCCTGAATGCGGAAGTGACGTCATCTGTTTTCGTTCACTTCATTGGTTCTCCGTAAAACACGAATCTAATAGTAGTATTCGTGCTATGCTGATATTTTATAATATAAAGTTAATAAACATCCAGTCCAAAAGAATATTTGTAATAGTTCCAATAATAATTATTAGAAACTATGGTCGTAATAATTTCATGTGAAAGTTAATCATGATAAGACTTCGCTAGTTACATCACATGTCAGGCATGTTTCACTCCTCCGGTTCGCGCTGACAAGGACACCAAAACTCATCAGAAGATCTCACTACACATACGGGGTGCACAGCTGTAGGTGAACCCAATGACAGCATGCAGGATGAGTACACTGGGCACACATGACACAGAAATATATTAATTGCAGTTTCGAAAATTAAATGAGTATTTTGGAAAATCGTAATAAGAGATGACCCTATCCAGTTTCCATATATTCTTTTACGACGGCAGCGCCATTGATATGTCATGGGATAATAATACGTCATACTATAAACAAGCAGACGACGCTATACTGAAAAGGTGGAGCTGACGATATTTTAGATATAGCATTTTGATTACATGAAAATTTATGCATTTGTAAACTCGGTTCCAAAACGTAACATTTACGTGTGTTTGCAATCATGTACCTTACTAAATTTCACACGAAGCATTTTGTTAGTCAGAGCTGAAGCAGTCGACCTCCTGCTAAAATAACATGTCTGGTGACGTAAAATCTCGCTAATAACCGCGAGAAATGAACACGCAAACGGCCGACCGAAAACAGATGTTGAACGAAAACAGATGACTCGCTTTACAACTCCCCAACAACAAAAACACCCCCTCCCCAAAAAACAACCCCAAAAATAACAACAAAACAAAACAAGCAGGACAAAAAACAGAAAAAAACAGAAAAACGAAAACAATAGACCAAACAAACAAAAACAAAACAAAACATGAACAAAATACAAAACAAAACAAAATCCCGCAAAACCCTTCCAAAACGCACACACACATGCGAATTTGTGACAGAAAGAGTGATGAGTATGTCAACAGTTTTATCGAGTCTTTACTCCCGACACGCTACTGTAGTGTTACAATATCTGTGTTCTTGAGAAGTTGTGGTTGTATGTTCTAAATTTAAGGATCGGTTAAGAAATATCACCTGAGAGAAGTAGGTATTGTTGATTTTTTAGCGCGCTTCAAAACTTTATAATATATTCCTTTAGAAGAATTTTCATATTGCTCGTCCAAACTTTATCTTTTGAAATTGATTCAACATTGGAACTGATCCATGGAGTTGAGTATAGATGAGGGTTGTCAAAACATCGGGCAATCCGCACTTACAGAATATGTTTTATATGACTGAGCCAGACATAGTTATTTGATATTTTGTTTGGGTTAGTAATATATTGAAGAATACAATTTCTTAAAGCGCTGATTGGCGGAGACGTCCGTCGTCAGTTGATGAACAACTTTAACCCATGTCAAAGGTCGTCCAAGAGCGCTATACAAGTGACCTGGCTTTTTGGATTCAGTTGTCTTGCGCTCGGTCATTCGAACAACATCTCCAAGTAGAACTGATGTCCCGAGGTCCTGTTGCAGGATCATTCGTTATAAAGCAGGGTGTTGGGCACTATAAAGGAATGTTATAGTTTCTTATTCTAGCGTTAGGTTGGGTTGGGTTGGGGGAAATGAGTTTTGGAAACGAAATAGGATTTAGACTGTAGTTCTGGGTAATGTTCAGTTTAGAAAGGTTCAGTTTATTTGGTTTTCAAGTGAAGGAGGAAATTTAAACACGCCTCCGAGGTCTTCTGTGTATAAAAAACCCTTAAAGGGACGGAAACACCCCGAGGGTTTTACAACAGGTAAAACCTCCAATTTGAGGGTTATTCCAAGGTTTTAAGATTCCTCTTCAATAATGGACCAAAATAGGGTTAGGTTTATAAGAGAAGTGTAAGGGACTCGTGTACCTGAAGGGCTAAACGGGAATGTGAGCGAGAATACTGTGGCAATTATAAATTGTTGATTTTTTGCTTCTATGTTTCTACCACTTTTTGTAATAAATAATTATTACTGTTCAGTTTGTCTCTGTTATTTCCTAATAAGCTTTATGCCCGATTGATGAACTGGTCACAAGACATTATACTACTCACACTTTGCTAAGGATCACAAAACATTTCCCAACTTTACTCAAACATTGATGTATTATTTGAAATTGTATTCATTTAAAACTGGATAAATATAAAAATGGCAACTCTTCTTTAGGCAAACAGACACTTTAAGCTAACCATATGCACTTGATACATGAGTAATCATAAAAACGGTTTTCATGGCACCAATCAACTATTTTGCAAATCATGCAACGAGTCATTGGACAAGCACACAACACCTGTCAATAGCAGGTATGTGATCCACAAGATGCAGTGGCATACTGAAACCTAGGATCCATGCTTACAATAAGCTTAGATATTTAAACCAAATTAGACCCCACATCATAGTTTTCTGCTGAATCAATTATCTGATCCTCAGCAAAGTATGAATAGTATATAAAATAAAAGTACACAACGCAAAGTCAAAAAGGTTGATTTAACATGCTGCTCCAACATCACCAATTAGCTGAACCCAGCTGTCGATGGGCGATGGCGGTTTGCTCAGAACCACAGATTTGGTGCCGTGACCGGGTGGGATTTCATTAAAGAAGAAGTAGAAGACGAAAGAAGAAACTTTTTTTAAAATAATTTTATTGTTTTAAAGATGTTTTACAGTCTATTACGAAAACTCATCAAAGGACATTCAGGTTACAATACAATACAAGCATATGATGTACAAATCATGTGAACAGTTCATGACATGGAGACCAGAACTTAAAGGCGCTGATATTACACTCCATTAAAGAAGAGCACTTTGTTATCATATTATAATAATGTCTAATTTCATTCTGGAAAACATGGAAAGGTGGCACACTGTTTTTTAATCTGCTTCAAAAATTAGGTTTTAAAGATAATAACTAATATTGAGAGGGTCATTGTTTTTTGTCTGGGAAACCGAGCAATACCTATTTTCTTGATACTTTGATATTGACAAGAGCTTTATGATTTAGCCAGATTTCAAGTTTTTGCCAGATATGGTTGACTTTACTGCAAGACCAGAACACGTGATCGAGTGTCTCAAACTTGTTTATTAAAGTGTCACAAGTTGTACATCATAAAAAGGCATAATATAATATAGACATAAAATTGAGTACAACATCCGGCCAAAACGGCCTATGAGACACTATATTACATTTAGAGACAAAAGTTAAAATTAAATAATAAATTACTAACAACTATTAAAAATAGTGATAAAAAAAAGGAGGGACAAAAGGGGAGGTTAAATAGTGAAATTGATTAATTTGTGAATTGAAAGGAGGACAACAAGGTGTAAAGGCTACTTGTTTGATAAACTGATTATATCTTGCATAATGAGAGTGACCGTCAACTAAGAGTATTACTGGGTAAATGGGGGTATACTGCCGTGGCAGCGTTCCATAAGTCAAATCTGGCGAATATAACTATAGCATAATGAGAGTGAATTTCGTCAACGACTTCAATACTGGGTTTTTACTGCAAATGCGTTCTTCCAAGGGTGGTCACAGGTCGTTCAAATCCGCCAAGTTCAACCTGTAAAGGTAATGTACCAAAACGAAATTTTGCAAATATATGTACTACGTTGTGATCTGTCTAAAATAGTGCGGACGTAGCTCTCTGTACAAAGATATTGCTTAAATAGACGAAATGTGCGTAATTTGTTACTATTCACTTGTCCCCCTGTCATTAAAGTTAGGAAATAAATTAATTAGTAAATTTAATTAGCAAGGATAGCAATTAGTAAACAATGTAAGTTAATTGATTGAGTGTAGCTACTGAGAGGTTTTCAATAAAGGTAGATTAGTTGGCTATTTATTTGTGTAGTTTCAACATAGATCAGTTTGACGTGTTTTCACTACCAAACGCTGGTTTCTCATCCAGTGAGCAGCCTGGTTATACGGGTAATTTGAATCAGACGCATGTAAATGTCCTCTACACGTCCAAAGCAGTTTGTTACGTCCACATGTAATGTTCTTCCAGTGAATGAAGGTTGGGAGGTTTGGAATTTAGTGCAGCGTTTGATAGTGGAAGGATAGATAGTAGGTCCGTTCGTTTCAATTTACCAAGTCGGCATTGTTGAAGCCTTAACCAGGACGTGATGGGTAGCCCGTCATCTAGTCTGGGTTTGGACCCAAGGCCACTTCTACCACAGGCTTTAGATTTAGGATCGGCTGCAAGTGAGATTTATCATAGCGATCCAGCTGAAACTATGCTTGCTAATGGGTCACCTCGAGTCTCACGAAGGGGAGATAGACCTGGTTGTTTTGATGGGAAATCTTGTGACTGGCAGGATTATGTGGCGCACTTTGAACAGGTCGCTAATTGGAATGGGTGGTCTGATAATGAGAAAGCTCAACAATTGACAATATG